GCAGCTTATTGGCGCGAAATTCGCGGCCGTCAATGCCAAACAATTGTTGTCATAGACTTCGAAAGCTAAATGCTTGTAATGAAAGTCACTTAGCGTGCTTTGGCTAAAGCCTAGGGGCGTTCGGGCTACCGAGCTGTCTCGAATCTGTGAAATCATAACTGTGACTTATATCGATGTCCTGTCTCTTTTCTCCGTTATCATCAGGCTGAGTCACGTAATTGTAAAATGGGAACTCTACGACGGAAAAGTGACGAATCGAAAGTATTGTGAGCGCGTATTATGATGTATGCACAGGCATACATGGATTAGAGCAATAGAGGTAAGAGAAAGGGAAGAGCAAAGATGGAGCGCTTAAAAAGAAGGATAGGCAGTGTCAGACCCTCAGATGTGTGACGATTCTCAAACGAATAGGTGTGTATGTGGGCTGATCTTTGTAATTATAAATTGTGAATACACGTGACTAATATTATTTTCTTTTTTATTTTGTGCATGTTTCAAGTTATAAATAAATATAAACAAACAACACTAACTCGATAACATTAAATCTAAGTACCAAAATGATTAATTTACTGTGTTTATGTTATTTATTACTCCTGTTTTTATGTATTCGGTATTCGGCGGAATAGTGATTAAATATTCGGTATTCAGCCGAATAGTGAAAAATAGGCCGAATACCGAATAGTAACCGAATATTCGTTACATCACTAGTAAAAATATGACATTACATACACATGGAATTATGGATGCTGCATGCTAATTGGCTGTAACAGAATCACTATGCAAAAATATACGTTTTCCTGTTACTCTGTTGTCAAAGTATTTGAAGGCAATTCTAACCAGAAGGCAATTTTACTGCTCGTGAGCAGTGACTAAGCTGGTTGAATTGCTTCAAAATCACACAAAAGAGTCAGCATAAAGTACATATTATGGAGACATTTGGTAAGATTCAGAAAGTCAAATATGCTGAACTTGTATGGCTGCATGTTATCAATAATAAATTTTTAGAGCCTTCTCAAGCAGGAACTTAGGTATATAGTTTTTAAGTTTATGAGGCATCAAAACAGATGGTGAGAGTATGGTACTAGTCTTAATTAACTGTAACATATGAGCTAGGCCTTTGGTTGAGAAATGGCACATACTGTTCTGGAATATGTCTAGAATCACTATCTTTTATATCAAGCTGCATTCCAACGTTAACAATAGCTTTTACATCATTTAGATGATTAATTGTACAACTAGCAAACAATGATTTTAAGAATAAAAATATATATTAACATAGTTACATTTTAATATAAATGATTGTTTCACATTGAAATTAAATGATAAAAGTTAACAGAAACAAATCATTAATTAATTAGTGAAAGTTTAAAACAGTAATGTTTGTCATTTAGAATCTTTTTTTAGTGGATCTTCCTTCTATGCTGTAGTGTTCAGTAGTCAGCTCAGCTTAATTTTTCGTGGATGGTCAGTCATGGATATGTTGGACCTTGTTTCTCACCACCCAGCTGCCCCTATTGTGGGCCAGGTCCACCATTGATATAGGGGAAAGACCTTCTTAGTGTCTACAGGGCAGAAAGAGTTTAAAAAAGTTACCTCAGCATCAGTCAGTCATTCAGTGCAGCTAAGGATAAAAATACTACAATATTTATATGCTCAGTGCATGCATGGCAAAACTTTTATGAATTATAAGAAAAAATAAGAAAAAGTATTCACTTACAGATTTATCTTGGTTAATTGGGACTCAGAAATTAAGGTTCTACTGTATTTATTTTTACTTCAGATATTTTTTACACTTTTTAAAAATATATATGTCATGTTAATAATTTTTGTTAACATAATTTTTTAAAATGAACAACAACCTTTATTTTTATTTAGCAATAAAAATTTATATAATAAAACCTTGATAAGTCAAACTGTTAACTTGAAGTAGCTTTAATTTGAAGCTGTCAACAGCTCCTAGCACAATATATAGGTTTTTGATATAATATGGTCACGTAAATCAAAATTGCCAGTGCTTTTAATTCAAATATATATTCTTTGGTACTCCATCCTTAATATGCCCATAATTTTCATTTTCTCTTATATTCTGTGTGAATATATCAAATATATTCAATACAGAATAAAAAAAATATCAAGTCTGGAATGTTTTATATGCCATGTGACATTTTCTGGCTGCTTGGAAGAATGTTCCTGTGACAATAATTAGAAGTTGTTTTGCAAGGTGAGAAATTTTAAAAGCAGTAATAATGATGCTCATGCAAATGTGATTGATGATGAAGAAAATTAAATCAATGAATACTAGCAATATATAAATCAGCATATGAATGTGGAGGTAATTTTGCCAATTTAGTCAGTGCTGTTGCAGTGTGTGCTTCATTAACTGACAAGTCACAAGAGGTTGAGGTACCTGCAAACTTACTTTTGACTGAAAATTTTTCCATGCATTTGAATAGCGATATAGCCCCACATAGTAATGAAGTGGAAATTAGTGAAGAAGAGAATTCATGTAAACTCGTAATAAGAAGGGATATTCATGCTGCATTATCAGCAATAGATATGGTGTTGGAAAACTATTCTAAAGAGGTTGGTGAGGATATTTGGGAAACTATGGACAAAATTAAGAATTGCCAAATGAACTACCAAATTACTTATTAGGTTGTAATATAAGGCTTATATCAAATTAGAAATAAATCAGTTTGGCTAGAGGTAGGTGATTAACTCACCATCTCATGGTAAATTTAATAATTAGAATTAAATTAATTTAATATACAGGAAGAAAAGAATCAGTCCAAAGTGTGACTTAAATCTACGACTCCTGCTTACTATGCATATGCACTGCCAATTATGCTATCTGGACCTCCATCCACTCCCCACTTATAGAACCATTAAGTTTGGAGGAGGTCTGGATAGCATAATTGGCAACATATCTGCACAGTAAGCAGGAGTTGCAGATTTGAGTTTTACCCTGGGATGATTCTTTTCTTCCAGAATATTCTAAATTAATTTAATTTGATATTAGATTGTTTATGTGGTTATACCAATATATGCAAAATTCAAAATTTTGTGCATAGTATGTTTATAAACATAAAACAAAGAAAACAACTATAAAGGATTATTTAACATGTCTGTTTGAAAGGCTGATGTTGACATATATCCATGTATTTCATGTGTCTGGTTTTTAGTTTCACAATAAAGTGACATAATTTGTACAGTTTTGTAATCATTCTGTGAACAGATCCTTAAGACATGGCTTGATAATGGGAAATTTATGGCCACAGAAAAATTTGAGAAAATCAAGTATTAAACTTGATGTGAAGTTGGAAGGTTTTTACTTCTTATTCTTAAACTTTGGCTTAATAAGGTTTTACTGTAATGAACAAACATTTTAGTCACCTAATAACTCACCTTCAGGTTCACACAAAGGAATGAATTTGAACCTGAAAGTGAGTTACTAAGAGCTTTTTTGTAACTACAGTAGAGCGTCGATTTTCCGAATTAATTGGGGACTGGGGTTGTCCGGATAACTGATATTTCAGATAACTGATTTACGTACGAAAAAATAGTTTAACATATCCAATGTCGAAATTTTTCTCCGTTGCATGTTACTTTGCATTGAATTTTCGTCGATGTTAAACCTAACAAAGACTATTGTATCATTAAAAATTATTTTTTTATTTTGTACAAACAAAATAAATATATTGAAAAATATAAAAACAATAAAAAATTATACTTCAGAAGTTAATTTAGTATCAAAAACGTAAAATATTTGAGTAGCCCAAGACATAACCAAAGATTGAAGTGCCACAGCACTGGCGAAAATTTAAATTTGCTGACTGGAATTCTTTCGGATGATTGACTTTCGGAAAATTGACGCTCTACTGTATTTGAGTATGTTTGAAGTAAAACATGAACAAGTAAGTCATTTGGAAGATTTTGATAATTGAATGATAAATTATTTTACATTCAAATTAAATTGTAATTGAAAGCACAACAGTAAATGGTGAATGTTAAATTATTAGAGTAGTTCAGAAAAGTTTTAAATAATTTTAAAAAGTTTAATGTTTTAATTTAAACAACTATTTTTTGGAATAATAAGAAGTAAGTTGATAATCTTTAAATTAAATTATGAAATTCTTAAATAAATCTTTAAACTAAACTAAAAAATTATCAAATACAAGCCATTTAGTATTATTAATAATTTAATTGAGTGTAAATGTTTTACTGTCATTGCTAAATCAATAAATGTATATCAATAATTTCTATGAAATTGTTTAATGAAATGAATATTTTTCAGGTGTATAATGTAAATAGATACAGTGTTCATTCAAACAAATATAGCAGTGTATTGCAGATGCTTGACATTACAAATCCAGTTGTAGCAAATTGCCTTATTGATCAGGTTAATTTTTTTTTATTTAACTTGCAAAGTTATCTTACAATAAAATTAATCTTTAAGTGATAAGAAACCGACTCACCACTAGCCAATACACTAATCAGAATAAAATATTATAATAATAAAATAAATAATTTAACTTGTACATTAGTTAGCAGTTGATTGGCTTCTTGTCATTTTAGTTTATTTTATTGTAAATATATTTCTGTTAAATATTAATTTTGAAATTAAATATAGATTTATACTAAAAATATAATTGAAGAAAATTATTGTAACTTTATCTATCTAAACTTCATCTATTAATTTTAAAAATCAAAATGTGATGCATGTGTATATATAGATTTGTATACAGTGAGTTCTTTTTTTACATTATAGATTTATTCCCAAAAACTATGTAAAAAAGGGGAAAGTTCATCCATTCAAATGCATATAATTATAGGGGATACATTACATAACCTCCAAAAATGATCAAATGAATCAATAATAACCATTTTTACATATTCATTGTATCATTATGGGACAGAACACACAGATATTTTTCACATGGAATTATTTTGGCAAGAAACATGATAAAATATTGGTTGAAATGAAAGTGAACACACAGCCTGTGTACTGAATTTTGTGGAGTCTGTGAAATTTTGACACCAAATCCATATCTGAGTAAAACAACTTGGCCCAATCCTCTGACTTCTGCATGATAAATATTTGTCTGTGTGCTGAATTCTGTGCCTTCTTTACAGACAAAAATATCTGTCCATGTATTCTGGCCCAAAGAACTAACTGCCTTTAAGACTTTATCATATATAACAGTGAAACAACTATAGATAAATTATTCAAATGAGAAGTGTACAGAAAGACAATGTTCTTTCTGTACACTTCTCACGTAATAATTATTAGTGAAATATGTTAGAATGTGTAGATCATTACTAACTAAGGAGCACTTTTACATGTTTGGGACATTTTCAAGGATAAGACAAAATTCAAGATGTAAAACACCTTTATTTAAACACTTTAATCATATATATATATATATATATAAATTGACAGATTGGCAGAAATTGGTTAATGATACAAGTTGATACTGTTATTTCATCATTGTCATCTGTAACAATTCTTCATTGCACATTTTAACTAATGATTCAATCAGATTTTCAATTTCCTTTTTATTTACTTCATTCATTTTTGGCTCTCAAGGCCATCCCAGTACTATCCTTAAAAGTTGTGGTGTTTGGTTTCTCAATAATGTCATAACGAAATTTATTGTAGATCTGAGGATTAGTTTCTTTCACACAGTGTTCGTACGTTGCTGTGATATCTCATTCCTTGCAGACTTGATTAACAACATGACATTCGGATAGTGAAAATTTTTAAAAATTTCCTCTCTAATAAATATTTAACCCTGCGTTAGTGCACTGAGTTTTTTTTCGGCATTAGTGCAGTGGGGTGTTTGTCCACCCCGACATTTTTTTGGGTCCATAAACCATGTAAGTAAAAATTCATAAAGATTTACTCATTTATTTGGTAAAGGCATGTGTCATTATACATATGATCATATTCAGGTATGATTACATATTATATTAGTACATAAATCCATTAAAATAAAAAACAACATTTATCAAAACTCATTACATTAGATTTTATTATTAAAGCAATAGTAAAAATCTAAATTGTTTTTTAAGCATTTTTGTCACTCTGATTAAATAGCTGACATTGTACTTTGGCACTCATTGCAAATGACAAGCAACTTGCTATGTTTCATATTTTTTCAATGTGTTTATGAAAGACAGCCATTTTGAATTAAAATAAACTTAAATTATTTTTATTCACATTAATTATTATATCTATATTATAAATAATAAATGTGGTCACATTATGCTTATTTGAAAAATAAAAAAAACTAAATAAATATTTGTAAAATTAAAAAAAAAACGTAATTAATACTGTGGGGTGTTTGGACACCCCACTGAGAACTGTTGTTTTTCTCTTACTGGAATTTCTGCAGCATCATAATAATTTCTGAGCATGCTCTGTACATAAAATCATGAAGCTACTGAAGAGGACACAAATATTTCTTGCGAAATTTATGAATAGTGCAACTTTTAAAACGTTGGGGGTGGCGAAACACCCCACTGCACTACCCCAGGGTTAAATTGTCCTTTCAATTTATATTTTTGGTCACTGTAGGACACTGTATTTTTATTTTGACTATTAAGAGAAACAACAAATTTTCAACTTACAAAAAAGTTAAATTTGTGTAATTGTTTTGTTTATGAAATGTTTAAAAAATTGACTAATAACTTTTGAAATCAAAAGAATGAAGCAAGTAATATTTATGGCTGTCTGATCTTGTATAATAAAAAATAAAACTTATATTAAGAAATTTATCATAAAGTATAAGAGAATTTATTTATTGAAAGTTTTTGTTAAATTTTATTTAATTGTATTTAATATTTAAAAATTTTCCTTATTTTAAGCAGAGAAAATGAAATTAAGCCAAAAAAAATTGTTACATTGAAGATTATTTACACATTTGCAAACTATATCCTTTTAACTTTTAGTGTATTTCTATAGACTGATTGTTCTTAACTTTCCACAAATTGTTGTTTATGTACATGTTTTGAGAACATAATTCATTCATAAATCATAATTTGCATTGTGAGACTTTTCTAAACATGAAATTGTAGTTGCTCCTAATTAGAAATATGTATTTTTTGTGTGTTTTTACTGTCACAACCAAGTGCATAGACAGACAACAGGCATTTCCGACATCAACTTTTATTCTGGAATATCTTGTTGGCCGAGACAAAGAAAGTTTATCCGACATCGATGTAGTTACAAGTCGAGTGAAAGGAACTATGTTGTATGCCAGAATTTGGTTTAAAATACTTCTATTCAAAAATTGGATGTAATATTACATGATCACCGACAGAAGAGGGGCTTATGCCCAAAATGCATCTTGGCCAACAAGATATTCCCAAATAAAGTTGATGTCAGAAATGCCTTTCGGATACTACAATTTTAAGACATGTTAAAGATATGGCTAATTTTTGTGAAAATGAGCTCTTAAGATGTTTGCAAGCTTCTGAACATGGATTTATTATTCAACTTGACTAAACTACAGGTATAGCTGGATTAGCGATCTAGCTCGTTATTGTGAGATACATGCATGGAATGGCTGCTCAAGAAGATATGCTAATTTGCAAAAGTCTGCCAACCAGAACAACTGTGGAAGAAATTTTTAATTTGATAGATTCATATTACATATGGACAGAGCCAAGGCAATGCTTGGTAAATTGAATGGCATAGTTGCATGCATGAAACAAAAAAATCCTCACATGAGAAGTACTCATTGTTGTCTTCATTGACAAACTTTTGCAGTGAAGAAAATGCCAGAAGAGCTAAAAGACATACTTAATGATTGTGTTAAAATTATAAATTTTATCAAATCAAGGCCATTAAATTCAAGAGTTTTCAATTTATTGTGTGAAAGTATGGGAAGTTTACATAAAACACTACTGTTGCACACAGACATCCGTTTGTTATCTCATGGAAAAGTGTTAGCAAGATTTTGTGAATTAAAAGATGAAATAAAAAATTTCTTATCCGAACATGCACCTCAATTAGCTCAAAAATTAAATGATGCAGTCTGTATTCAGAAAATGGTATATTTAACAGATATTTTTACCTATTTAAATGAGCTTAACATATCACTCCAAGGAACAAATGTCAATATTTTCAAGGTACAAAATAAAATTGATGCTACTCTTTTAAAATTGAAATTTTGGGCAGATTGCATTTTGAAAGAAAATATTGAATGCTTTCCTAATTTGCACAATATTTTAGTAGACAGTAGTGCTAATCTTGATAAAAATGTAAAAATAATTTGGTTTAACATTTATCAGATCTGCAAAAAACATTTCTTGAATATTTTTCTGATCAAAAAAAAAAATTATCTTGGATTCAAAATCCTTTTCAAGACTGTGACACCTCTAAACGCCCAATAAAAGAAAGAGAACAACAAATTGATATATCGACCGACACTCAATTGAAACTAAAATTTAATCAAATTGATATGTATTTTTGGATTGACATTAGAAATGATATCTTGAAATTGCCAAAAGAGCTGTGAAACATCTAATGTCATTTGTATCAATGTATATATGCAAAAAATCTCTCTCTTTGTATGCTGCCACAAAAACAAAATACAGAAACAGATTGGATGCTGAAGATGACATTAGGTTGCAGATGTCAACATTTATTCCCAATGTAAAAATGCTTTGCAATAAAAAAACAAGCACAGTCATTAAAAGAATTAAAAGAAGTCGAGTCATTAAAAGAATTTTCTTTTTGTTAATTTGTTATAATATAAAATATTGTTCCTTTTGTTAATTATTCATAAAATGTATTCTAGAAAATAAATAAAATAAAACCTGATTTGCCACCTCACTATTCATTGTCTTATTAAGATGTTTGTATTAAGATTAAATAAAGATACAAGAATAATTTTGCAAATTAGAGTACAAAAAACCTTTGATAAACTATTTTATATGATACTTAAACATGAGATTCCTTCAAGAAAACCATGAGCTCGAAGGGTTCCTAAAAGTGTAAAAGGTTGAAGACCCCTGCAATAGAGGATGTGGGGCGATTAAAGATGAATGTATTTGAAGCCATTGACCATTATCCAGAGCGCATCAGAAAAGCATGCAGAGTGGCTTCAAGCATGCCAACTTCTCAAGCAAGTGTTGAGTGTATACAGTATTTTCTGGATTAAGATTCATTTTAAGTGATAATAGGCAGTCAATGAAGAACAATTTGCTGTCTGCCATTTTATTTATGAAAATCAATGAATAAATTTTAGGTTGTATGTTAATTTTTTTAATAATATATAAATTTGTTGTAAATAAACAAGCGTTTTTTGTGTGTACTTATATATCAAAGAAAAAATTAATGTATTTCCTATAAGAATATTTTAACCAAAACTGGAGCAAAGACTTTGATGCTGGAGTGGAGCAACTCAAAAAAAAGGTCGCTCCAAAGCCCTGCTTTTTATTGCATCCTCATCTTTGAAGACTCCTTGCCAAAAAATTGTCCAAATGTGTAAAAAAAGTGATA